AAAAAGGCTTGATCAACTTTACTCCAAAGCACGAAAAACGAAATCAGAATTTAAGCCCAAACGATGTTTAGAGATCCCGCTGAGTTTACTACGCCAGGCGCCAAGGACTACTCGGGAACAAATTGGTAGTTTGGGTCAACAAATGTTAAAACAAGGCGATATTTTGCTTAACTTAATTTTCAAAGAGGGTCTAGATGGGGTTGATTATAAGCTGACAAATAATCAAACTTTTAACTGACATTGTGAAGCGCCCCATTCGTACGACCCTCCAGAAAAACAAGATGGATCGATAATGTTCGTGAGAAAGAGGAAATAAAGAGTATATCGTGACACTGAATGACAAAAATACGAGGGAGACGCACTTTTTTTAATGCATACATACTTCAAATTGCAGTCCAATTTGTCATGTAAATCAACAACGCCTTAAATTGATAGACAATGATGCCGACCTACTTTAAACTATGAGGATAACGAGAATTCGTCGCGATCGTTAAAATGGATATAAGAAGCCTCGAAACTGTGGGATTTTTGCAAGTCATGCGTGTGAAAAAAACCAAATTCGGTTCAGTAACAGGGATCACATGGAGACGCCCTTTTACTAACAAAGAAACGAATTCCAATTATACGTTTACGTTCGGAGGGGTCGCAATTGGTTCACCCATTTTGGATGTAAAATTGACGGCAACGAAAGACTGAGTTTGTTTTATAAACCATTAATTTTTTTCATGCACAGAATTTAGTCTGATCGATTAATGAAGTGGTCGTGGCAGCGACGTTGAAAAGGGATATTGCCAAAGGGCTCAGTTGTTGTTTAGTTTCCTTGATTAAAGACTTAAAGTTCATTTTTCTACAAGAAAAAAGTCCAAAAGGACTTGATGGGGACTTTTGGTGATAATAAAATTTCACTTGACCATCTAAAAAATAGAAACTTTGGTGTTAATCTTACCTCAAAGTTATCTCTTGCTGTAACTAGAGAGATCACGGTCCAACTTGTTTAGGAGGGGATCTAAAATTAATGAGATATACCGTACTTCATGGTTACTTTAAAAACTCTTCATTAATATTCACTATCAATTACCTTAATCTTGAAACTGTAGGGTAAAAAAATATTCATTATGCATTGAAATTATTAATCTACTTCAGATTGGGTAAAGTTCGCCGGCCAATTCTTCATGATCGGCAGATCTCTTAAGGATGTTATCTTGCTCGGTATCAAGTCGATTGCCAATAAGCCAGATGAGAGTCATCATAAGACTCCAAAACACTTCAGTTTTCTTTTTTGTTATTAAGATCGTAGTAAAACTGTCATGGTCAGACATCTGGTAATTTAAATGAAGTCCAAATCACTTGGCTTTAAAAGAAATTTCAAAATACATGCAACATATATATATGACTGATGACAACGTCAAAAAGTTTTTTATTTAAAATGCGTCAGGTTGTTTTTTTTTTTCTAAACAAATCCTCTTTTTTCCCTCATTTCTTTCAGAGTTTGCTTAAGCCGAAATGAAAATCAATGTTGTCTGGCTTACTCTGAAGACCAAATTTGTAATTCTAATTTTATCCCTCTTTCAAAATATCAAAAATACCATGTGTTTTCTTGTAGGCAAATGTATGACTCAATAGTCTACATTCGTCGAGAAGTCACTACTTCAGAGGCTGTCTGTCTCTGTAAAAACCGCCCACTCAGTGAAAAATAGTTTTGCCTGAAACTTTGGAAAGTGAAAGGCTTTATCGAGGCTATTAATAACTAAAATAGGTGGGGTGTTTTGTCCCGCCACGGCCAGTTTGCTCGTCTTGAAAGTTGAAAATGAGGCTTTTTTTGCAGCTCTGTAAAATGTTTGATTTGCACCATCCGCCAATGAATTTTGTTTCTATTTATAGGTAAACACCCCTAGTTTATCCTGAAAGTAATACAGTTGAACCTCTCTACCGCGGCCACCTTGGGGACAGAAAAAAGTGGCCGTTGTAGAGAGGTTTTAAACAAAAGTTGGTGTATGGATTTTCTGTCCGCCTACTCGAAAAAAAGTGGTCGCTGTAGAGAGGTGGCCATTAGCGGAGGTTCGACTCACTTTAGTTATTCGATAATTTAGCTGGAAAGACAAAATGAAGCAAAATATGACCTCAACTAATTGCCTTGGAGAGAAAGGCCAAAAATGACCCTGGTTTAAAAGATTATTTCTGACTTTTGGGACCTAGTTGAAAGCTCTAGACCAAACAGACGAAAAGAAAGATCATCTGTTATTAAGAACATACAAAAACGCAAGTACTATTTCGGCGTTTTAAAAGTTATGACCGTTTGTATCAACGCATGCATGCGAGCTTATACGATATATTCAGCTCTAGCGCAACGGATATTCTCAAGCACATTCTTGTCAAAAGGGCTTACCTAATTCATTACTAGCACTGACTCACAAATTGAGCTATATTTCAATCCCTGAGATGCAAGATTCCATAAAATTCTAGTAAATGTACTTTAGAAACTGCTGGTATGCAGCCATACTTGAATCCGATACTGGCAATCCGAAGCTCAAAACAGGTCATGATCAAACTGTGTCACTTTTCAAGATAAATAGGTACAACTGTCCAGAAGTGAGACTTTGTTCGAGAATAAAAAAAAAACCTACTAAACAGGTTTCAGTTTGGGTCAGACAATCCAAATTTATGTACAAAGGTGGGTAAAATGTTTCGAGCATTTTTCGGTGTTTTGCATCCAATCCTAAAACAAGTTGTCTTTGCCCCTTTCTTGGCCATGCGGGTTTGGTCTACAAAAAGGATCTCCCTAAGGATCTGCCCCTCTCTTCGTGTTATCCGCTATCTGTGTTATCCGTGATAACGTGGGGAAAAAAATACTCCCTTTGGAACAAATAGCTGCTTTATGCAAGCGGAAAGAATTTTACCTTAGCGTAAAATTCTTCATCATTCGACCGTTTACTGATTCTTTCAGGTCTCTTTCCGCTTAAAAAAAATAATAAGTAAGAAAATACCGGGTCGCATATACGCCAAGTCCAACTAAGGCGACTTTTGCGGCTAAATTTACCCGATGCCTCGTAATGGGGCTGTCCACTAACCACTGATTTAACAAAAGATTTTTCCCTCGCCGGTACTTGCAAAGTTTGTAGTTTCGACTGTAAAAATAGTCAAAGGGATGGGATAAGATGGAAAGAAAATAACAAAAAATGAGCTTCACAAGGAGGAGGGTCAGTAAAATTTGAAGGAGGCTTTTCTCCATTTGCTCAAGCCCTCCTCTTCACTCTCTAAGTAATGATGGGTTCCTTATAAACTTACTCACCGGCCGGCACTATTTATCCGCTTTTAATACACGATTTTCAAGGGCCTTCACCCTGACATCCGAGCTGGCTCTGTCTCCTAGATCTCCCCATACTCAGTTTCGATATATAGCTAACTTATGTGAAGTATTGGTCTTAAGTGTGTATGTTAGTGCATATCGCATGCTTGTGACCGGTCAATGACAGTTACGGTTTCTTATGGAGCCTATTTGCCAAACACAATCGATCGTGGAACCTCGTTTCAGTTTAGTGAAAATAAGACAGCTACGGTTTGCTTATTTGAAAGGTTCTATCTTTTACGCGTCTGACAGCGTCGAGAAGAAGCCCTAAGCGAATGCAGCTATCTCTGTTTTATGGACCTGACTTCGGTTTTTGATTGATTCAGATCTGCCGATTTCCTGATGATTCGGATTTCCACATTTCCGGTTTTGCATATTTCCGGGTTTCAACATTTCTTGTTTCTTCGTCAACCGGCATTTGACCTAGTAGAGGCGGTTGAATGGAAGGTTAATTCGAGGCTGTAGCACTTAAATCTTAATTTTCTGACCCAAAATGGAAACTGCTTAGTTGATTTTCTGATTC